ATTTATTCAATGCATTAATTAATTCATTACATAATAAAACTAATACATAAATCAGTTTCTTAAAAACCTAAGACTTAACCTCTTTAAAAAAACTCCACAGAATAAGATTGTCACTCTAGTGAATGTAGATGCTGCCATCTAGTGACACATATTCAAGTCACCTGGCATAATCAACCGTCTGTCGTTGAATATAGCAAAACTCTTTTCTTTTTTTTAAATGTTAAATGTAAAAAAATAGTTATGCAAATATTTTTAATATGAAGTAAATTTGTGATATAATTTGCAGTCTAAATGATTGGTTTCACGCCAGCAGGTCTTCAGTGAGGTGTACGGGCGCACACTTGTAGCAGTTCAACACGTTGTAACAGCCTTTTATTAAATGTTATCCAAATACCAGCCACATCTGTTAAAAAGAGACATAAATTCTGCAGAATTATTTCCACGTGCTGTACTTGTAAAACCAAAAACATCCAATAAACTGTTTCTTTAAATGTATCCGTTTAAAAAGAGCAGAACATCCTGAGTTTATCATTTTTTACAGAACCATCTCACAAATAAATGCTTTCAGGAAGTCATTGGGGTAGAGCTGAGGTTGCAAAAACAATAAAGACATGAGAGGAAAAATCAGGCAGTCTTCGTACATTGGAATATATCATTCATAAATGGTTACAACAATTGAAACATGTTATAAATGGATTCAAAAAACAAAAAAACAGGCCAAATTATTGAGTCTTACTAAAACTGCAGATTTATGAATCTCTGACTTGGACAAGCTTCTGACAGCACGTTTGAATAACTGGAGGTTCAAATACTTCTGAATAATCTCTTTTAATTTTTAAAAGTCTTACTATACAGTTGAGCAAACAGATATTTATTCATAATATTTTCTTGGGAAATCACGAATGCTGACAAACTGTGAGTGCTGTTTTAGTATTTCTTACTCTACATTCCTCAGTAGGGTTGAACTATAGAGGCTGTAAAGGAAGATATATTAATATATGTGATCAGTTTATTATTAGAATACTAACAAAAAATACTTATGGCATCAAGATATTGAGCAACTCTTGAGGTAACAGGTTTAATGGCAATGAATGAAAATGAACATATTGTACCAAACACATGGACATTAGAACTTTTTACAGTACAAATCTGTGCCACCATGGAAGATATTAGGGTTGAGATTCATTCCTTTTCAGTTTAAAGAAAGAGAAAATCCCTTTAAATGTGACTTTTTCTTGACCGCACCCGAGTTGGATATATCCGACTCAAATCCTGTTTTATTAACCTTATACAACTAACTTTTTTTAAGCACAAAACACAAGATCGATCAATAGTTATTAGAATTTAGCTTCAGTTACGAATTACACTGAAATTTTACACCATAACAAACTTATGCAACCTTCATGCTTCATCATAAAAAAAACAGCACCAGACTGAATTAAATCAAGTTTCCAACACAACTTATTAATAATGACTTTGTTTAAAATCACTTGGTCAAAATGTGTCTTTGTCTAGTAAAGAATGGGAAGACGGACTGACTTTGAATCGCTTTTGTAAATTGTATACAAATCATCAGTTTTATCTGACGATTTTATTAGCCCTATCTCTTATTAAATGTTGTGATAGTGCTTTTGTAACCACCAAAGCCAACAAATAAATTGTGGTAACAAAAGCCGCCTGACCAAGACGACGGTAATGGATCCTTGGATGCCAACAGCTTTCTGTTTCTTCATATATGGTATTTCTTTCATCTTACAGTTCACTTTTAAATCCCTTTATACATAAACCTCTTGTGTTGTGTAAAGTTTTGTCCCTTTTGCATTCCTCTGGTCTTCATCTCTCATGGTAACTTTGCGATAACTCTCAGGAATTCATTCCTTTTGCCGTTTTTAGATTTTGTCCTCCATGTTTTGGTGGCTGTTAATGTTGTAGTGAGGAAAGTAGATTCAAACTGTGTCATCTGTTAAAAAACAAAGAGAGAAAACAAAAAGGGAGACGCAAAATAAATAAGTGGGGAATAGTTAGTCAGGTTAAGTTGTTATAGTTACACAGCATTAAGAGCGGACATGTAAAACGGCATAGCTTTCGCTGAGATACCAGTGTTGCCACTGGCGTCTCTGTCAGAATAACTGTTTGGCTCAAATGCCAAATGTCAGTCGTAAACATCCCACAGACGGCCTTCAGCGACCTGTTCAAAGAGAGTTACAACACGTGTCACCTCCAGTTCAAATCAAACCTCTGTCTTTATGATGCAAAAACAAACCTCATTGATTCCCATGCATTAAGCAAGTATGTTTGAGCTTCTGTATATGCATTTGTCAATCTTTATCTGTGAGTGAAAGCCTAAATGAAATCTGTTCATCAGTTAAAGTGATCATGTCTCTAGGTTTTGGTGTAATGGACTTTCAGTGGAGGGACAGAAAACTCTCAGGTTTCATTGAAAATGTATTTTCATTTCATTTCATTCAATTCACAGAGAAAGGAAAACTTGAAATCGCATCATATGACCCCTTTAATGGAACAAATGGACGGCATCTGTTGATGTGTTGTCAGTTAACACATCCCTCAGTTTGTAAAAACAAACAAAAATCTAACGGAAGTGCTTTACTGTACACATGGTTTTTGTTTATGCAGACTGAAGCACTGAAGTATTAACTTGTACTAAACCTAGAATGTTACTGTAAGACAAGATTCTTTTTCATATTTAGATAACTCAAAAATGTAATAACATTGAAATTTAAACATATGAGATTTTTTTTTTTAACATGCTGGTGAGCAGCAGCGATTTTCCCACTTAAAGGAAAAACATCTTGGAATTAAATGCAATTTAATAAAATAATAAAAAGCAATAAAACTATCAAGTAAACAATTATTAATTAGACATGCATTTACCTATAAATAAAAATCTGACTTGTATGTTAATTCCTCCACATATTCATCTTAAAATATCACCTCTCTTTTAGAATGGTTAATTGGGGTTCAAAATATTTTTAAGGTCTCAATAATTTGTTTAATGAAATTAGTCATGTTCCTTCAGTGCATACTGTCCATACAATGGCCCTATAAAGAATTAGGATACATAAAATATATGAATGTCACTGCATTAGATAAAATATCAAACCAAGGAGCTTTTATTTCATAGAAAGATGGAAGAACACGTTTCAGGTCAAACATTTCAGAACAAGAAATTTTTCGATTAGGTATTGAAATATTAGAAATACTGAACATGAAGAGATAAAGTGGTTACTCCACTAGGACGCCTGTGTAAACTTAAAGGAATAGTTCACAACAATGGATGCTCTGCAGTGAATGGGTGCCGTCAGAATGAGAGTCCAAACAGCTGATAAAAACATCACAATAATCCACACCACTCCAGTCCTTCAATTAACATCTTATAAAGCCAAAAGCTGCATTTTTGTAAGAAACAAACCCATCAAGACGTATTTAACTTCAAACCACTGCTTCTGGCTACAATATGAGTCCTCTATCTACAATACTGCTTTTTCCAGTGAAAGAGTCATCTCATCTGAATCAGGTGAGAAATATGCTCCAATCAAGCACCGTTTACAAGTAAAAACTGTCCAAAACAGTTCTAAAGAAACATGCCAGTTGATTTTGATGTGAAAGGACAACAGTGGATGGACGTATTTTAAAGGAGGAAGCGTTATTATGGATTATGGACTCATATTTTGGCCACAAGCAATGGTTTAAAGTTAAAACGCTTTAATGATGTGTTTGTTTCTTACAAACACACAGCTTTTGGCTTCACAATGTCTTGTAAAAAATGTATAGCCTGAATGCACTGTAAGTCGCTTTGGATAAAAGCGTCTGCTAAATGCATAAATTATTTAATTATTATTCAATTAATTATTTAAGTCATTAACTGATGCACTGGAGTGGTGTGGATTATTGTGATGTTTTTATCAACTGTTTGGACTCTCATTCTGACGGCACCCATTCACTGCAGAGGATCCATTGGTGAGCAAGTGATGCAATGCTACATTTCTCTAAAGTTAAAACACATTAATGATGGATTTGTTTCTTACAAACATTCAAGCAGCTTTTCACTTCACAAGATGTTAATTGATGGACTGGAGTGGTGTGGATTATTGTGATGTTTTTATCAGCTGTTTGGACTCTTATTCTGACGGCACCCATTCACTGCAGAGCATCCAGTGGTGATAAAAAAAGAAACTAATCTACATCTTGGATGGCCTGAGGGTGAGTACATTTTCAGCAAATTTTCATTTTTGGAGAGCTGACACAGTATATCCACTAAAAATCTGCTGACGCTTGATTTGATATTTGATATTTAATGCAATGGCATTTAAATGTGGTTTAAGTGTCCAAATAACTTTTGAGGCCAGTGAACTTTCTAACATGTTTTAATAAATGAATGTGTTCATGCACCTGTGGGAGCAGCTGTATGCTGTCTGCTGCTCTTTATGTCCAAGAAGATTGTGTAGCAATCATAAGCAAACAAGATCCCAGCCACCAGACCGAACACCTGCGAGAAAAAGTGAGCGTTATTATGAACAGATGCCAGTAGTGCAAAAATCAGAGGAGGATATAAAGCACTAATAGATCCGATTTGATCATAAAGAAATAAATATAGCATGCATTTGATGCTGAATGTTGGATGTCTCACCCCGCCAGCGATGCGAGCCCCGTCCCCAGATCCACCAATCACACAGATCAGAGAGGTGATGAGATAAAGTGCTGCACCGATTACAGCGCGGAAGAGATCCTGAAGGGACAATCAGAGAAAATTAAAGCGTGTAAAAGTCGCCACCGCAATGCTAGACTGGACCACGATGCAAGAGTGTGAGTGAATTCATACTCACGCTCCAGAGCCAATTCACCACCAGGAACTGTTTGTCCAGCTCCATCATGAAGACAATGAAGAAGATGATGGCAAAGACCATCTCACAGATGGCGACCGCTGAATACCCGCCATGCTTTGACGCGGCATAACAGACAAGGATGATGAAACTGAGGAGCTACAGAAAACAGACAGACATGCAGTTTAACAACTTAAAAGAAACTCGATTGCATCAGTGTAGAAGTGTGTAAGGGTGTGAACGTGGTTTTGATCGGGGGTCAAGGTTTAGCTGGTTAGCATTAGCAGTTAGCCCTTGCTTATAGATACCGTATTTATACAGTTCTGCAGTAAGCCTGTTTCTCTATTGCAATATTATTATTGTTAAAGTCACAAGAAAGGGGACAGATCTTGGTAACACTTTAGTTTAGGGTCCAATTCTCACTGCCAACTAGTTGTTTACTAGCATGCATATTACTAGCATATTGGCTGTTTATTAGTACTTATAAAGCACATATTAATGCCTTATTCTGCATGACATCCCTTAATCCGACCCCATAATTTACTATCAATAAGCAGCAAATTAGGAGTTTATTGAGTCAAAAGTCATAGAATTGGTCCCCAAACTAAAGTGAGACTCATATCTTTTTCTGTATTCCATATCTTCTGTTGACTGTGTGTGAACGAGTTTAAGCTGATTGATTAGAGATCGTCACCAGAGAGAAGTTTGTCATTTTCACCGGAAGATCATTTAAACATTAAAAGGAAAAAAAAAGTTGAAACATACATGGATGCATTGTTCATAATAACATCTATAACATGCATATACAAAATAGATACATATTTCTGCATGTTCATTTCATGCTGACTTTAACAAAAAAAATTAAATTACATTTTTCATTAACTGAAAAAAAACATAACTGAAAAACTTAAGTACATCTTCCAAATGTACTTTAAACTCAAACTAAAATCAAATGACACGATTCCCAAATGATTTAAAATAAAACAAAAATGGCCACAAATTAATTTTTAATACATTCTAAAACTTGAAACCATTACAAACGGCCTACATTAAACATGAAAATGCCACTAGACAGCAATAACACTAGACTGTGCTAAGAAATTAATGTTTAACACAACTGTTAAACATTTTTAATAAAACCAATAAACTTTGGCAGCCCTAAAATACTAAAACTAAAACAAGAAAAAAGTCTGAAAAAACTAAACTAAAACAATGACAGAATGAAAACTAAGAACAATTAATCTAAATGTAAATAAAAAAAGACTAACTTTAAAATTCAAATCTATAATGGCCCTGCTTCATTGACAGTCATTCAAAAGTAGCTTTATATTGTATAAAATATTCTATTTTGGTTTTCTGTTCATATGTTTCCATTAGTATTAATTTGCAATTTATATAGTCGTAATATATAAAACAATCCGTAACTTGTTCAGTTGTATCTTGTGTCTAATGCAATGACATTTAAATGTAGTTTAAGTGTTCAAATACCTTTTGAGGCCAGTGTACTTTCTAACATGTTTTAATAAAACAGGCATTCAAAAGTAGTTTCATATTTTCTGTCCATATGCCTCCAATAGTATTAATTTGCTTAAAACAATCCATAACTTGTTCAGTTGCATCTTGTATAAGATGTATAAAACGTCCGTGTGCATGAGTGTTTTATTATTTTCCTAAATGTCTTTGGCTTTTTAGTGTGGAAATTCTCCCTCTCCAGTACGCGTCACCCATGTTTGCTGCCAATTCACCAAAGCTTTCTACTGTTCACTACCCACAATTCATCTGAACGTGCCATCTGCTCTAGGTGTCAGTTAACAGTGCAGCTCTGAATTGCTCACATCCTATGAAGATTTGTGAAGCTTTTTCAAGTCTGATTACTAAAACATGCGGTGAGGACTAAAGAGAGGACTACGGCACGGATGTAAACAGCACAATTCACACAGAGCGAGGTTGTAGACGAGGTCGAAGGTCCTTATATGGTTAGAAACAGAGAACTATTATAAGAATACTTTTGGGAGTACATGACTATTATGAACGTCTAATCAAATCAGCCCATAAACTCAAACACTGCGCCGCTGGGATCTAAACAAACACTGCTGGCAACAACTAGGAAACATCAGTGGACATTAGTCCACATTATCTGTGACTCATGGTTTGATTGTAAAGAATGACAAATATGCAGATTGAAATAAGATTACAGAGTTTTCAACATGCTTACATTTTAAGCCTACTGACAAACCTAATGAAACATTAAATGAATTTAAAGGGAGAAAAAAGTAACCAGATTTCAAATTTCGTACATTTCTTTCATACTTTGAAGGACAGTACAGGTATTCTTGCATGGTTCAGTTCATCTTGAAGTGTTATGTTGCCATGGTTTGTGGTGGTGTTAATGATTAGTACACATGCCACTGTGAAACACCTGTGCCTTGTGTTTGCAATGATCTGCTGCCACAGTAACAACTGATAAAACACAGAGTAAGACTGTTTTCTCAAACAGGAAGATTCTCAATGTGTTAGGAGGCAAGTTTCCTGTTTTCTGTCACTTGGGGAAACAACAAACTTATGCTACCATGGCAATATCTACCATATTTTCATAAGAATATTTTTTGTATAAATATCTGAACATACATCAAAATAAAGATCAGAGCCTCTACTTTAAAAAAAAAATAAATAAAAAATCTGTTTTATTCCAGCTTCAAGCATTCTTTTTTTTTTTTTTGATCAAATACTACATCTGGATCATATTCAGTTCGATGATCAAAGCAAAGATGCAGTAGATCGCTTCCATCAACACCCCTAAAGCTTCACAGTCCTTTAGGCAGTTTTCATTTATATGCTGTTTATTGTTGATGATCGTATTATTTTTCATATGCATCTGCTTACATATGAGATCGCTCGTTTCTGCGTCTTCATCACATTTTTTGCTCGAGAGATTCTGGACTCATTCAGGAGATGCGTAATAGTGCCCCCGAGTATATAACAGTGAAAACACGGAAACCTGGAAAATTCTGTGTTTGGCAGGGAAAGAGTTAACTGAAATGTCCTAACTTGACCTTCCGGTAAAATGACAGAGACTTTTCTCTGGTGATGTGTGCAGGGCTTTTCCAATCATTTATTTTGCTTAAGCCCCGACTCTTTATCCACTGCAAGCTCACATTCAGCTGATCCGCTTCCATCAAATCAACAACCGATGCAGAGAACCAGGTCCCCGTCGTACAGTTCTTCTTTTTCACTAAACCGTGTCACTCGGATGTACATCACAGTATGGAAGAAAAGATCTGTTGCTACTTTGTTTGATTCTGACTTTAGTCAAGGTTGAATCAAAATTCACTGTTTACTTTCTCAACACACGTTCCTGGTGTTATTTTGAATGATTTATTTGTGCATGTTATTCTAAAGAGAGAAAAAAAGTTTGCCTTCACATTCGTTCATCAAACCACTTTCCTTTTTCTCTGAAGTTATTTCAATCCTTCCCTTCCAACCTGTTTATCAGCTTCCCATATCAACAAATGCTGATTATAAAAAAAAACAAAAAAACATATTGGATGAAATTACTGTGTTGTCACACAACAGGCAACCACAATTCCAGGTTCTTCTGCTTGATAAGCAGGACTGCCGCTTGAATGATCTTTTAAGCATTATACATGTAAATAAAAATCTCACATTTATGCATTTGGCAGTTGCTTTTATTCAAAGCAACTTACATTGCATTCAAGGTAAATTCAAGGTTTATCAATTCTTGTTTCCCTGGAAATCGAACCCTTGGCCTTGGTGTTGCTAGTGCCATGTTTTACAGTTGGAGCTACAAGAAGATGTTTATAGAGAAGAAATACACTACCATTCAAAAATGTGGGATCACTATGATTTATTTTAAAGAATTTATATTTTATTCAGCAAAGATGCATTCAATTGATCAAAAATGACAGTATTGACATTTAAAATGTTACAAAAAATTTTTTTTTTTAAATAAATGCTGTTCTCCAAACTGTTCCATCAAAGAATCATGAAAAAAGCTTTGATCAAATAAATGCTGCCTTGTTGAGCATAAGAATCTTCTTTCAAAAACATATTACTGACCCAACAATTTGAATAGTAGTGTGTATTTATTTATTTTTACATTTAATTTATACATTTTTATTATTTTATTTTAAGTTTTTTCATTTGAATTATCCACTCACAAATTCTCACTGCAGTGATGCTGAAGCTGTGTCCTGTTACACCACTGATGGATATTTGGGATTATTATTTGTATTACATAGGCCTGTCACGATAACAACTTTTTGTTGTGCGATATATTGCCCCAGAAATAATTGCGATAAGCGATATTATTGTCATTTTAAACTTTGTTTGTAGAAGCATTTTTTAAATTTGAACTAGCACCTCATGACTGCACCACGTTATGTACGAGAAGCTGCAAAAGACACTGGCGCAAGTGGAATGTACAAAACATGGTGACATTAATTCTTAAGTAAATATAATGGGCGATATATTGCGTCACCAAAAATTATTTAAGTCATGTACATATATTGTGCGATAAGTTGATATATTGATTATTGCGACAGGCCTAGTATTACATGTTATATTCGTCACTGTGTCACTTCAGGGTTTGTGTCATGTATTACTGAAACACAAATCCACTGACTGGAAATATAAATACTATTGCAATCTTTTGGAAATTAAGTGTTTTAACCACACAAACAGCACATGAGCTCATTTTCACCTCAATTTGACCAAAACAGCAACAGTTGTTGCTTTCCAGTTCTGAGGCACAAAATTAACTGGAAAGTGGTGTTTCAGAGTGTTTGTTTAAAGTGCCCCTATTATGCCATTTTTAAGGTTGCTAATATTGTTTTATGAGTCTCCTAAAACAGGTTTACATGCATGCAAGGTCAAAAAACACGTTAGTTTTCTAAAATAAATTTTTTTATTTGACCTCATTTCTAAATGATTCGTAAACGACTCGTGCGAAGCAGTCCTTTCAGTGAGCCCTCACTGATGTGATTGGTCAGATGGCCCAGTCCTTTGTGATTGGTCCAGAGCCATAGAGAGATTGGCTCTGGATTGGTCTACCGCGAACAGCGCGTGTCAGAAACGAAACATGACGGAATGACAGCCCTGGAGACTTGTCAATACATAGAACAGATGGTATGGATTGTACC